AACCCATACCCTGGAGTGTGCTATTCCATATATGATGACAATAAGTCTTTTAATCTTTTGAAACATATTCTGTTGCCATGTAAGAAAATAAGGAAGAAAAAGAACACACAGGAATTACGGAGGTATTGTCCTGTAAAACAAAATCTCTGCTACTGTCATATAAGATTTTATCATATTTCTTCATTTTGGCAATGTTGTGTATAATTATGCATGTACTTCAGACTTTTTGGAATTCTGTGCTTCTTTTAAAGAAAAACATCATGTTTTGGGTCCATTCCCAGAGTGACCGAAAAGCAGCCCATTATCTCTAACCATTGTATAAAAGAAACTTATAAAAAGCATGTTCCAGTTTTCAACATGAAAACTAAAGCAGAAACTAATGAGTATACAGTATAACATATTGTGATGCCATGAAGGGCACTTTCATCACAACGCACACAAAATAGTCCTGACACAGAGATACACTCTGAAACAGACTGGAAGATTAAATGGTGTTTATTTATTAAATCAACCAAAAATAACATAAACCTAGCTCTTTGTGGGGCTCCTAACTTAATGTTTTTCTAGATAAATACCAGGCATTTACCCTCCCTTCTTACTGGTGTGTTTAACTGTGTTCCTTTAAACATCCAAATAAATATAATTATTAAATTAAAAACAGACTTTTCACATTCACAGTCCGTTGGCCTTAACACTGTTTGTTGGACAATTCAGTTTCTTCCTGCAGTCCGTGGTTTTTGGTTTTCCAAAAATTCAGTTTCCTCCTCTGGACCTTGGTTAACCAGTTTCTAAAGCAATCCCATTACCTTCTCAGCTCCACAGCCTTTGTTCACTCTGCACTTCTCCCAAGAAAGTGCAACCTCTCTACTACTGGCTCGTTAGCTAATTTATATAGATTAGAATAGGTCATGCAGCTGCTCCCTGTTTCTGCAATTGCCAGCAAATGCCATTTTGTGTGCTGGGCTTCTCTCTTGGCCTCTTGGTACAGGCACTGGTACTGTAAAGTGGATGATGCTTCAGGGAAAGTACCACCCTTGAAGGACTATGCCCCTCGGAGTATCACAATATATATGTTGTATATATACAATGGAAAGCATAGGTATTGGGTAAACTGAATTTTGTCATTTTTGCTGTCTTATGATGACATTCATATTTCAGATCACAACAAATAATATTGTTCTAATGCAGCTAAACATATATACAAAATGATATCCAACAA